TTATTTATTAGGTTTATTTATTTTAATAGGCTACTTAATTTCTAATAATAAGGATGCATAAAAGTGATAAAAGATAAGATTGCATTAAAAAAGCGGACATTTTTGTCTTAAAGCTCACTGTCATTTTTATTCCCAAACTATGTTAATATTATCGATTGTATGTTTTAGGAATGGAAAAAATCAACTTTTCGGGTGGAGAGCCCTTCATTCACGAGAGAGGTAATTTTCTGGGAGAGTTGGTGCGATACTGCAAACAGGAGCTGCAGCTGCCGAGCGTCAGTATCGTTAGCAATGGCAGTCTGATCACAGAAACCTGGTTCCAGAAATACGGTGAGAATCATTCATGGCCAGCAGAGGGCAGCGAAGATTGCTTTTAAACACTTTGGCTTTAAAGTCCCCCGGTAGTCAAATATTTTATCCCTTAAAACTTATCTTTGATCATCAAAATGACATATTTAAATGTTTTTTCTTGTGAAAATAATTTTCTCATGCCTTAAAATAGCTTGAATGCAACTCTACACCCTTGCCTCATTTACTATACGCTGATCTATGAATATGCAAATGAGCCCCGCCTCCACTCAGTCACACCAGCCAGCGCCTCCTGACCCACTGAACTGTAGTAAACGCAAAACAATGGCATACACGGATAATGACTGATAAAACTATCTTTTTACTAGCAGACAACTACAGTGAATGCTGTAACATTCGTTAAAGTTACTTGATGTTGTGTCCTAAAATGCCTTGAAGACTCGAATGCAGCCATTTGTGATTTCTTAATTCGCGCCGGCGAGCATACATACGCGTGTGACATGCAGACGCAGCTGCGGGAGAGGTGTGTCTGACTCCGGGCTACTTTTACACTGTTGCCACGGGTTATAATGCAAGTTAGCGGTTCTAAATTCACATTAAACCACAGCCTCATGGGTTTTTTGCTCCGATTTATTTTTGGTTTTGTGCTGGTATTGGTATATGTTGCATGCTAGTGATAGGAATCGATCCCTTGCCGTGATTGGCTATTGGTTTGTGACGTAGCAACCCCAGGGCTGTTTCAAACCGTATTTCTGGGTCAGCCTTTGGGAAACTACAGTTTTGAGAAAATACTCAGCAATGGTGTCGATTAATACATTGGCACATGGTTTGTCTAAAAGCATATGAAAAACACCACATAGACAAATAAACAACATAAAAAACTTGATTTTCACTACAGGGGGACTTTAACGTTACACATTCTGTATATACAAGAAAACCCTATATCAACGTTTATACAGCTCCACGAAAGGCCTACGTATATTAAGCCCCACTTAGTATCTGAATATTAAGAAGGTTCAGTTTTGCTAACGTGAAATGAGATAATATTGCACTGTCAAATGTTTATTAGTGTGAGCTTTTTTGTTTTCCAACACTAGCAGGAATCCACCACTGCATGAATGCCTTTTTGTCACTATGCACTACATTTTTTGTTTCAGGTCATTGCATGCAGTGACATACAGTAATATCGAATTTGAAGTGATTTGATCTAACTATTAATAATGATTTTAATTGCTGCACATGAGAATCACCAAACCTGTCACATATAGTATGACAAAAAAAAAGGTGATTTAACTAACAGAGTGTACGATAAGTAACATAGTTGTGAAGTATGGCCTACCTAAAAATTAAATGAAATTAAAATTTGCACCGTTATACACTACCGTTCAAAAGTTTGGGGTCTGTACGATTTTTTTTAATGAAATGAATACTTAATTTCTAACAGTAAGGATCCTTCAGTTGATCAAACGTGAAAGTAAAAGACATTTATAATGTTACAAAAAAAACACCTATCAACTATTTTCAACATTAATAATAAGAAATGTTTCTTGAGCACCAATTCAGCATATTACATATCACATATCATGTGACACTGAAGACTGGATTAATGACAGCTGAAAATTGATCAAATAAATAATTGCAGTCTTGGTGAGCATAAGAGATTTCTTTCGGAAAAAAAACTCACAGACCACAACCTTTTAAACTGTATATTAACTAAACAGAATATATACATTGTTTAATACATTAAAGAAAAATACATTGTTATATCAAAGGTATTTGCATATGGTGACAAAATTGCTCAATTTTTTATTTGTATCTGTATTTTATAGGTGACGACTTGGACATCCTGGCAGTATCTTGTGACAGTTTTAACGAGGACACCAATAAAGTCATTGGTCGAGGTCAGGGCAAGAAGAGTCACCTGGACAAACTACATAAAGTTCAGAACTGGTGTCGGGAGTATAAGGTGGCTTTCAAAATCAACTCAGTTATCAATACCTACAATGTGGATGAAGATATGACCGAGCAGATCAATGCTCTGAGCCCAGTGCGCTGGAAGGTATACAGTTACTTCCTTTACCACAGACTCTATCATTTTAACCAGGCTGCTGACCATGTGTTTAAGGCTGTATTGCAATGTACACACAGGTCTTCCAGTGTCTGCTAATTGAAGGGGAAAACGCAGGGGAGAACAGCCTCCGCGAGGCAGAGAAATTCATCATTAGCGATCAGCAATTCCAAGACTTCCTGGACCGCCACCAGAGCGTTAAGTGTCTGGTTCCAGAGTCTAATCAAAAGGTAATTTTGAGGCACAGAGCGCACACTTTCGCTCAATTCAGATCAGAGTTTCAAAGTAGCTTACAATTTGGAAGATAAAGTGGCTTCAATTTATGAGTAATACAGCAATAAACTTTCAGTTTCAATTCATTACCAAAGCTTTTACGACTTATAAGTGTCAAAGTCCCTTTCTATAGTCTTTGTAAGTGTGCACTACAAGATTTGAATTTAGATAAAAAATAGCTCTATTAGATGGATGCCTGGGACTTGAATATACTGTTAACTTGATATGAATTGTTTACTTATTTATTTTTCTTTTACAGATGAGAGACTCTTACCTGATTCTTGATGAATATGTAAGTGGTTTCATATTTTCTTCTCAGCATCCATTAAGTTTTCTTCTCATGAAGGATTTTTTTTTATATTCGTTTATGTTGTCATTAGAGTCTAAAGGATTTCTTTTTGTTGGTATATTAGATTACACTATTATTACAGTGTAAATTATTCTTTTAAATTACATTATGTCATCATATCAGTAGCTTGGGGGATTATGGATAGGAAAATAATAAGGCCTGCAGTAATTTGCCTCATTCCAGGCTTCAAATTACTTTTCCCTCCCTTGATAATCTCTGATCTCTATTAATAATCATGCTGACATCATCAGAAAGAGCAATCATCATAAATAGATTTTTTAATCCTCCATATCTGATGCCGCAGATGCGCTTCTTGGACTGCCGAGAGGGGAGGAAAGATCCGTCAAAGTCTATTCTGGATATTGGTGTGGAAGAGGCCATCAAGTTTAGTGGTTTTGATGAGAAGATGTTCCTCGTAAGAGGGGGGAAATATGTGTGGAGCAAAGCTGATATGAAACTGGACTGGTGAACTGTCTCAGTGTTGCTGTTTTTACTCTGTGTTTACATTGAGACCTGATTTAATTTATAAGTGTTAAATATATGGTAATAAACAATTGTGCAGTGTAGTTACAGAAGTTACAACACAGCTCCAAAAGCTGGTTGGATACATTGGCGTGTAAATGTCTGTGTTTTCACAATTTTTAAGAGATTCTACTGCACTGAAATACTTGCATATATAGATTATTATGTAGATATGATTTTGTATATACGATTTTCATAAGATTTGTATTATGGTATGCTTGCTTTTAATCTGGAATATTTGCATAACCTGAAGTATGTTTGACTGTGCTATGGTTGTCTTTGTCTTGACATTCTTAGCAGAAGTAATTGATTTAATATAATCTTGGAAGAAAATTATTGATAAATTACCAGCTTACACAGTTTGATTAATTGCACTTTGAATTAGAATTAAGACTTAAGCACACCTTTGATGCTTTAATTGCCATAGTGTAGAATTGACATTTTAGTTTGTAGCTCCTCAGATCGCAACTTTGGAAAACGTACAAAAGAACTCTAAAGACTTTCTCCCGTAACCAAATTATTAAATAAAAAGCTTTGAGGCACTTGTAATATGTAGTGAAGGTCATGAGGCACCCTGAAAAAGGAATCTATATAAAATAAAATGATTCCTCAATTATGTTTTCATTTTTTTTTAAAGCGATGTTGTAACGTCATATTATATTTTATTGAAAATAAATATTTTTGACACAATCTTGTTACATCTGATCTCATAATTGTTCAAACTGCTCCAAGTGTCAAATTTTTTAATGAAATGATTTCTTTAATTTCTTTAAAGTCTTTAAGCTTTCATTGCTCAGTAATATTTAGGTAATCCCTAGTATGGAGTACATTTTTATGTCCCCATCATATAGGCTACATCCTAGTATACATAAATACATTTAAAAATATTTTAAATGATAAAAAAACACTGATAATTGAAATTATATTTAAAGATGGAAATCGTTATAGTAAGATTTATTTCATCACAAAGTCAAAAGAGTGGTGATTTTAAAATAATGCCAAAACTGGCCATTTATGATGAAATATTCTAAAATATGTTTTCTTGAAAATTTTTTATTTTTTTTTGTTAAGAAATATATTTCTTAGATACATTTCATTCTGCTGGTCTTTTGTAATATCCAACTAACAAAATGTAAGGTTCAACAAACATGTCCTTGATGAATGCAGTGGATCTGATACATTTTATGTTATACTTTAAAATATTCCATCCTTTCAGTTAAAGCAAAATCGGTATAAAATGATCAATGTTTTAAACGATGGTTAAAAAAACTGAATTAACTTTAGCCTGACACCCTCACGTAAGGTAATGTTACCTCAAGAGCTCCCAGAAACATATCATTTGGAGCTGTCCCAAAGTCTGATTTCAAGAGCACTATTATGTGTTGTGCCCAACAGAGGGCGCTAGAGCTGCGCCTTCGCTTCAGAGACGCATACATATATAAACATGCAGACCCGCTGTACAGCACAGCAGCACTAGGTAACACTCAGACTAATGGCGTCTTCACAAGACGGACCAGCTGATTCTTATATCTGCCTGCAAAACTACATGAAGACATAAGGTAAAATGCTCGTGCAATTACAGATGGCTGTGATGAATGTGTCGGTCTTAAACGAAAATGTTTTCTTATCCACAGTAACCGCTGTATACGGCACTATATTGACTTTCTGAAATGCAGTAGGATTTGTGCAGCGTTCAACGTTTTAAAGCCGAACGTGTATGTCAGCAGGTCAATATATCATAAAAAATCTCGGTTTTATTTTATTTGGCAATGCTTTATGATCTTCATTTAGCTGTAACTACGAAACTCACTTTCTTCATGTGCAGCTCCAGTATAGATTTGTTTACCTGATTGGTGTCTACGATGGCTGTTTACTATTAGAATATGACCGTAGGTTACTATCACGTTCACATGGGCTGGCTCTCAAAACCTAGTGTGCTGCCTACCTAGACAGCGTTTTTGGGCATTATAATGTCTATTAAGGGTTCACGAGTCTGTAATGCTCAAAAAAGCTGCCTAGGTTGGCAACACACTCTGTTTTTGGGATCTTGGGACCATGGGACCCTTGGCCCGTCCAGTCAGACGATGCAAATATTGATATGAAGTGGCCCGTTCTGGTGTTTGATGAGTGGATGTGCTCTAGTTCAGGAGCTGGTGCTGTGTAGGGGTCTAGAAGATCGGGGTTGGGTTGCATAGTTCGACAGTAGCTTAAGTTTTGACATGAGCCCTGGATGAACATTCCATGGAAAGACAGTAAGTATCTCTGAGTTATAGGGACTTTCCATGCTTTTTTGGGATTGTGTAGAATTTGCTAACCCTTAGGTCGTCAAAACTGCATGTGTGATCCAAGGTAGGCTACCAGGTGGTACAACCATGAGGATATTGTTTTTAAAACAAACTGATTAATCATATTCAAAATGTTTTGGTCAAAAAATGCTAGTGCAATGAAGATATACAGTATGGTTAGTATGTGGGGAAATAGCATTGTTTCTTAAAATCACAATTCTCATTTTCAATATCCTTTCTTCCCCGCCATATTAAATATGGCTACCAATTCTGTTCCTGATATCTGAGGTTATTTCAGTTTAAATCCTCATTATTTTAGTTGTTAAAATAGTTTAATGGATTAGTTACGACTAATGGATTAATTATGGCTTTGGTAAGTAGTCATTCATTGTCTATGCCTTATAGAAAGTTAAGTTTGCATTTCTACAATTTGGAAGAGGATTTTCAAGCAGTGGGTTCCCTTGGGAATTTCCTGTGGACTTTTAAAGCAGTTTTTGATTTACAGTTTTAGTAAAATAAGACCCGTGGTTAACATTTACGTTTTGTCCTAACATACAGTCTATCGTTACATATAATTGTGAATTTTGAACGCTGTGTTTTATGTGCTTTTCAAGTGGAGTCCTAAATATCGTAAGTTCTAAGCACATGGATGACCGAGCGAATGCGTGTTTAAAAATGGGAAACTTGGAATCCTAGATGAGTTGCAGAGCTTTTACATTGCAAGGCACAATGTTTTTTCTGTGGTCAAGGTAGATTGCGCCGTTTGGAAAAAGGGTTTATCGTAACAGTGTCCAAAGAAAAACCCTTTACTCTCATCAGGCTTCTCAAGTAGTGGCTGCAAAGGTTTGACACACCACATGTTGCTAACTGCCATGTTTACATCTCAGACTGCAGTCCTTCTGGTATTTACTCAACACTCCGCATTCATTTAGTATACTGGCTCAAAATCATTATTTAGATTGGTTACTATGATTCTGCATTTTCTGTTTAAATTTTTCTGGAATATGGTGTTAATGGTTTAATTAATTTAAATCATCAAAAAGCATGCTATAGAGTGAATTGATTTGATACAACTTTAATCGATGTAATTTTTAATTTAAAATCAATTTAATTTCATCCCCTCCATCAAATCATTGTTTTATGATTTTATATAAATGTATTGTCAAAAATGGTGGTAATCAAATTAGCTAATGAAAATAATTTTATCAGCCTTTTAAAATGTAATCATAACCTACTAATTTCTTTACAACAAAACATTGCGTACTTTTGATTTATTCATCTACAATTCTGTGACAATCCACAATGCCATCCATAAATCATACTCTTTGAGTTTGATGTTTAATGTTTTGGCCAAGTACGTCGTTTGTTATTATAATAATCTTAAAACATTTGTAAGCTCATACACTTTACAGGAGGGTTTGTAAATGGGATAACAGCGGTCTGTTTACATTAGAGGAGAGTCCTTATCTGATGAGTGTTATCTTCAGTTGCATTTGACTATGTGCTTGACTGTGCATTTGAATCATTAACATCCAGCTCTTTGTCCTCCATGTTCTGCATTTTAGCCTTGACTGTAGAACAATTATCTGCACTTATATTTATATACTTAAACCGCAACATTAATGACCTGTGCACTGTATATGACACTGTTATGTAGTTTTACCCGAAATACACAGTGTAAAAGTAATATTGGTCAACCCTCTACATTGCGAGTAAATCACTCGCATATGCGACTAAATCTTCACTCTGGGTGACTAAATTATGTCTAATATTAGCCAATGGCTAATACATTCTCAGATTTTACTCGCCAGTGTGTGAGTTGGAGGCTAAGTATAAGTTTAGCACATATATACTTTTACTCGCCGAACACTCTCTGACTGAGTGCTTCAGAGTTTTACTCTCCGTCAAGTGATCTGTGCTATTTTTCAGTTCATCTCAATGGATGTGCAACGCACCTGTATTTGACGTACCGTAAACTCTAGTGTGAAGGCGCACGACTCGCCGTCGCTTTGTCTCACACACACGCAGAGAGAGAGAATTGACGCGCTACATGTAAACGATATTCTTTGTTGTATTTTCCTGTCAAAATAATGGCGTTCCTTTGGAATTCTTGGCAAGATTTGGCAATCTCATTGGCTGGTGCTCACCTATTATCGTCCCTGTTTTGATTTCAGCAAATCAGTTCAAGCGAACGCACACAACCTGATTAATATTCATGAATCCAGTAGCTCATTAATCCTTAGTGCGTTTTATATTGTTCTTATTAGTAGAATTTGTATCATTATTATCTTATCAGTATTTTTGTTAGTTTTTTCCCGTTTTTTTTCTTTTGTACAGAAACACTGAATTACCAAAAAAGCACCACCACCAGTCCTAAGTTCAGTTAAAATGGTTATCAAGTTTTAATTCTAATTCCTAAAGTTCTAACATTAAATAATATTGATCATCATATTATAATGCTTGACTGACTGATGTTAAGAGTGTACTTTCATATATTTAAAAAACTGGCATTTTACAAACGTGTGTGTGTGTGTATATATATATATATATATATATATATATATATACACACACACGTTTGTAAAACCAAAATGCGTTCTTGTCTTAGGACAACGTTGATGAACTTTTTTTGATCCACTTCAAATGTTGACTACTATAGAGGTGCATCTCAATAAATTAGAATGTCATGGGAAAGTTCCTTTATTTCAGTAATTCAACTCAAATTGTGAAACTCGTGTATTAAATAAATTCAGTGCACACAGACTGAAGTAGTTTAAGTCTTTGGTTCTTTTAATTGTGATGATTTTGGCTCACATTTAACAAAAACCCACCAATTCACTATCTCAACAAATTAGAATACTTCATAAGACCAATAAAAAAAACATTTTTAGTGAATTGTTGGCCTTCTGGAAAGTATGTTCATTTACTGTACATGTACTCAATACTTGGTAGGGGCTCCTTGTGCTTTAATTACTGCCTCAATTCGGCGTGGCATGGAGGTGATCAGTTTGTGGCACTGCTGAGGTGGTATGGAAGCCCAGTTTTCTTTGTCAGTGGCCTTCAGCTGGCCACTTTTTGGCCATTTTTCATTTAATCAACTTTTGGTGCTTTTGGCAGTGTAGGCAGGTGCCAAATCCTACTGGAAAATGAAAATCAGCATCTTCAAAAAGCTGGTTAGCAGAAGGAAGCATAAAGCGCTCCAAAATTTCTTGGTAAATGGGTGCAGTGACGTTGGTTTTCAAAAAACACAATGGACCAACACCAGCAGATGACATTGCACCCCAAATCATCACAGACTGTGGAAACTTAACACTGGACTTCAAGCAACTTGGGCTATGAGCTTCTCCACCCTTCCTCCAGACTCTAGGACCTTGGTTTCCAAATGAAATACAAAACTTGCTCTCATCTGAAAAGAGGACTTTGGACCACTGGGCAACAGTCCAGTTCTTCTTCTCCTTAGCCCAGGTAAGATGCCTCTGATGTTGTCTGTGGTTCAGGAGTGGCTTAACAAGAGGAATACGACAACTGTAGCCAAATTCCTTGATGCGTCTGTGTGTGGTGGCTCTTGATGCCTTGACCCCAGCCTCAGTCCATTCCTTGTGAAGTTCACTCAAATTCTTGAATTGATTTTGCTTGACAATCCTCATAAGGCTGTGGTTCTCTCGGTTGGTTGTGCATCTTTTTCTTCTACACTTTTTCCTTCCACTCAACTTTGTTAACATGCTTGGATACAGCACTCTGTGAACAGCCAGCTTCTTTGGCAATTAATGTTTGTGGCTTACCCTCCTTGTGAAGGGTGTCAATGATTGTCTTCTGGACAACTGTCAGATCAGCAGTCTTCCCCATGATTGTGTAGCCTAGTGAACCAAACTGAGAGACCATTTTGAAGGCTCAGGAAACCTTTGCAGGTGTTTTGAGTTGATTAGCTGATTGGCATGTCACCATATTCTAATTTGTTGAGATAGTGAATTGGTGGGTTTTTGTTAAATGTGAGCCAAAATCATCAATATTAAAAGAACCAAAGACTTAAACAACTTCAGTCTGTGTGCATTGAATTTATTTAACGGTCCCATGGCATGACATTTTCAACATTAATATGAGTTCCCCTAGCCTGCCTACGGTCCCCCAGTGGCTAGAAATGGCGATAGGTGTAAACCGAGCCCTGGGTATCTTGCTTCACCTTTGAGAAATTCAAAGCTCAGATGGCCCAATCTGGAATCTTCCCTTTATGTCGTCATACAGGGAAAGGGTACCTCCCCTTTCTCTGCTTTGCC